ACCAAAACCATGTAACGCTATGGGAAAAAGTTTTTCCAAATTTCTCAACTTTTTATACATCTGATGCGAAAACATTCAACAGCAAAAAGATAGCTCTTATGCTCAGCAACACGTTGCAAAAAACAAATCGAATATCGGTTGGTAACTTTGGCAAATATTTGGATTTTCATGGTTCCCGAATAAACTAATGTGACAATTTTATCCTCGTTTAAGGGGGTCTTCTACAGCTAATAAAACCTACTAAATCGTAGCAGAAAAACCTCCCTCTTGGTGCACGCACTAGGGGGACCAACAGCTTTCATTTCCCACCCAAAAAAAAATTTTGAAAAATTTTGACATTTTTTGAAAAAAGTTAGTTGTAGTTCAAAAATTTTTCCATTACCAGGTATAGGACATATGACGTCAAAAACTTTCAAATTTAATTCTGCGTCGATTGCAATCAAAATCAAAATTTTATCTCATTTGGTTAGAGAGATATACGTGTTGCAATTGATATAGACCAAAATTGGCCGATTTTCAAAATTATTGGATTTTGTTGTAACGCACGTCATTTTACGCGGAATGTTATGGCGCATCTGGTGATGTATCTTTTAACATGATAAAATAAAAAAGTTTTTGAGTTATTTTGAAAAAACTCAAAAAATTGCCAAAAATTTGAAATTTTTTAGAATGTGCGGGAACTTTTAAAACATTGTTTCTAGTGCATCATAACACGCTGAGTTCGAATCTGCAATGAGATTTGATGTAACTTGATAAATTTTATTTAAAAACAATAAAAACTTTAAAAAAACATGTCGACTATTTTTTTTGGATTTCATGAATTTCAAAAATTTGATCAATCTACTAGATGCAACTTGTGATTCTAAATCAGAATGGTCTCTTGAGTATTTTTTGTCCGACGCTTAGTTTTCTGAGAAAACACGTTTAAACTATTCGTAAAATGCAGCAAAAATATAGGCAAGATTCCCTATCTGTTTTGACGACTTTATTTAGTGTTCAGGAAGCTAATACTTTGACAAAGGCTAGAATCAGTCATTTCCTTTCTAGTGCCGTTTTCAGAACATCTTTCGGTTACGTGATCATGGAGATACAGCTCATTAAGTAAAGACCGTTTTACCCCATTCATCCCCAGTGTTAAACTCCCTATTCAGCCTGATTCTGAATTGTTTGACATGTTACCCTAAATAGCGATGAAAAAACTTTGCGAACATAAAAGTTTGCGAGCGTTAAAGATGCGCTAATTCATTGTCTACAAGATGATGTTTTCGGTATTAAGATATCTTGATTTTCAAAGACACCATCAACGATTATATGGAGGTAGTTTTTTATAGAGGTAGTTTTCCCCATAGCGTTACGCGTTGGACGACGACGGCGCAAAACAGGTGGTGTTTGACATGCTCTAACTTCAAAACCAACAAAGCCATAGACAAATCTTTGGCACCGTGTAATAGCCCGTTTCTAGTTCTAACAGATCAGAAGAAATCAAAAAAATAAAATGAAATTTTTTAAAAAAATTATATGAAAATTTTTGGGTCAATATTTGACATATGTATACAAAAATTAAAAACAATTCAGCCATGTTTTTCTGCACACAATAGAAGTGTAATTGTCATGATGTAGACAGATTTTGCGTAGATGGCACTAACTTCCAATGATATAGACTTAAACTCAAAAAATATATTTTTGACATATTTTGCACCAAATCTGGAAAATTTTTTGAGAACATAAAAGATGCGCTAGTTCATTGTCTACAAGAGGCTGTTCTCACCGTAAAGATACCTTAATTTTCAAAGACAGCATCAACGATTGTATCTAGGTAGTTTTCCCCATAGCGTTACGCGTGGCACTTAGAAAAAATCCGGTGAAAACAGGTGGTGTTTGGTGGTGCATGCCGAGGGTTTGACATGCTCTAACTTCAAAACCAATCAAGCCATAGACTAATCCTTGGTACCATGTAATAGCCTGTTCCTTACTCTATGAGTTCAGAAGAAATCAAAACAAAAAAATTAATTTTCAACAAAAATTTTTTTAGAAATTTTTTGGTCAAATTTTGACATATGTATACAAAAACCAAAAACAATTCAGGCATGTTTTTCTGCACACAATAGAAGTGAAATTGTCATGATGTAGACAGAGTTTGCTCAGATATAACCTACCTCCAATGATATAGACTTAAACTCAAAAAACACATTTTTGACATATTTTGCACCAAATCTGGAAAATTTTTTGAGAACATAAAAGATGCGCTAGTTTATTGTCTACAAGATACTGTTCTCAGCGTTAAGATATCTTGGTTTTCAAAGACAGCATCAATGATTGTATCTAGGTAGTTTTCCCCATAGCGTTACGCGTGGCACTTAGAAAAAATCCGATGAAAACAGGCGGTTTTTGGTGGTGCACGTCAAGAGTTTGACATGCTCTAACTTAAAAACCAATCAAGCCATAGACTAATTCTTAGTACCATGTAATAGCCCGTTCATTTTTCTATCATGGCAGCAGAAATTAAAATATTTCAGTGAAAAAATAAAAAAATATATATACAAATTTTTGGAACAATTTTTCACATATGTATGTCAAAATTCAAAGACATTCAGGTATGCTTTACTGCACACAATTGAACTCCAATTAAAATGCTGTAGACTGGTTTTGCTCAGATAAAACTCAACTTCGATGATATAGACTTAAACTCAAAAAATATATTTTTGACATATTTTCCACCAAATCTGGGAAAATTTTTGAGAACATAAAAGATGCGCTAGTTCTTTGCCAACAACATACCGTTCTCAGCGTTAAGATATCTTAGTTTTCGAAGACAGCATCAACGATTGTATCGAGGTAGTTTTCCCCATAGCGTTACGCGTGGCACTTAGAAAAATTCCGGTCAAGATGACGGTAATAAATAGATGTGTTTGATGGCGTCTGGAACAACCATCGTCAAACCTACATCAACCAACTTTATGTGGTGTCCTTACAGAACCCATATAAAGCGTTTATCAAAATTTCAAAAAAAAATTTCGAAACATGACATCACCACAGAAGTTTGAAATTTACACTTTACTACGTGATTTAACATGGGAAAAATTTACCAAATTTTATATGTCATATTTTGGTAAAATTTTTCTTCTCAGTAGATAGCCAGCGTCACAAGCTTTCTGCCAATACCATATTCATGCACATGACTAGCATGATAAGGTGTCCAGTAAAGATAAAAGACATGAAACCCTATACATATGAATATATAACCACTTTTGGAAGCGTACAATATTTAAAGAGAGACGAAAAAAGCCCATAGATAGAAGCAAGAATATCACATCCAATGTGGAAACGTAGTCTGGGCATGATACAAACAAGTTTGATGTAGGGCCGTTCAAAAAAAAAAAAAAAATTTAGACAATGAAAAAGTTTTTTGCTTATAAAAAGAAAACTAAATATAATTTTGGAACAAATCCAAAACCAAAAGAAGCCCTGCACAACGATGTATCAGCAAGCAAAAAAAATCCTAGGTTACGGCCTTATTTCCGGATCGGGACCAAATTGTACAATTTGTGCTTTTTTCAAAACCATGTATATCGTTAAATTTTTGGGTTACATCAAATTTTTTTGCACCCTTCGATTTGTCTTTGCAATGCGCATCTTTTACTAATACACTTGCATCACAAATTCCCTACCAAAAATTTTTTGTACCCCACTCGGTACAATTTGTGCAAACGAGGATATAATTGTCGCATTAGTTTATTGGAACTTGGATAGGACGGGCGTTGAAGTTTCTTGAACACGAAAATCGGCCAACTTGCCATCTAATAACTTCTACAATTTTTTGGATTTTCGAAAAAAAAAAAGAACAAAAAAGATAGAGCCGTTAATTCTGATCAAACGCACTCCTCCGATTTTCGATAGCCCCCCTAGTAAGGTCACAGCAGCCAATACCCGCAAAGGCAAATCGGGATAAAAATGTCACATTCGTTTATTTTCGAGGATACCAAATGTCACATTAGTTTCTGAAAGGGATACAATCGTCAATTAGTTTATCCTAACCTAACCTCCTAACCTAACCTAACCTAACCTAACCTAACCTAACCTAACCTACTAACCTAACCTAACCTAACCTAACCTAACCTAACCTAACCTAACCTAACCTAACCTAACCTACCTAACCTAACCTAACCTAACCTAACTAACCTAACCTAACCTAACCTAACCTAACCTAACCTAACCTAACCTAACCTAACCTAACCTAACCTAACCTAACCTAACCTAACCTAACCTAACCTAACCTAACCTAACCTAACCAACAAGGAATTTTCTAGGTCTGGCTGCGAGATGCTGCCAGGTTTTACTCTCGTCACAAAACCATTTCATGACGCCCTCAAACAATGCCTTAAGTGGGCAGATTTTTTCACACTTCAAAATTTGGCCACTTAGCGTCGTTTTCGGTTCTTGCAAAATCACTCATAGTTACAAGTAAGCTTTTCCCTCATGCATGATGCCTACGTCAATGTTTTTTAAATGTGAAGCTTTCCCTGTAGTGTGCAGTATCACGTAATATCCTACGGCTGGCGGAATTCTCATTTGTTTTCATGTGACCTGCCAATTTTAGGGCACTGTTGCTCCAAATGTTCTTGAGGGATTGCCAGCAGATGACTGGAAAACCCACCAGTCTGATTTCATTTGCTTCAGAATCTTCGGTATTCAACATATTTCCTGGTTCATACCACTGCCGGCGTGTTTTGATTGTTTAAAATTGCAAGACAAATGATAGAGAAAACAATATATATGTGCAGAAATAAGATGACAAATAAAATGTATTATATCTAATGAAATGAATAACTACCATCGGCCCAGTATTGCATGCTTTCCACGAAGTGGGCCCGCTTGTTTGCTTCGTTATCTGCATGACGCTAGTTGGGGTGAAGTGTAATCGCAAGTGCGACTAAGGTGATATAACAGCGAGAAGCTATGGACCAGCTAACGTCATGCACCTGCCTGAAATGATGCGTCGTTGCGTGATAAATCGCCTTCAGCAGAGCTCAATCTCTGTCAGAATTAATTCTGCAGAAGAAATAGTCGTTACTGGTTTGTCCTTTCGTGTCGTATGAAATCCTTCACGTGCGCAGCTACCTTTGACCCCTAATTACGGCGTGCTGGTCACAAAGCGAATAAGCCAGCCCAGATCGTGCCAACAGCGTGATAGGCTTGCCCGGCTTCTTTGTCAGATCGCTGAATGGCATTGA